CAAGAATGGACAGGAATGCTAGTAGCTATAACAAATGAAACTGGGAAAAAATCAGCAGCTTAATACAAAGTTATTTCTCATTCATTCCAAGTACAATTGGTGGTAGGAATGATTATGGTAGTAGTGGTCTGTGTACCTCTCTTCCTTACAGTCATTCAGGCACTCAGGCTGGCAGGATACCTGGGTGCCAACATCCAAGTGGCAGAACCAGGTCTGGGGAGGGAGGGAGGAAGGAAACAGATTTTCCTGTGAGAGGTTTTTATGGGCTAGGCTTGTCACTTTTTTTTTTGAGACGCAGTATCACTCTGTTACCAGATTGGAGTGCAGTGGCATGATCTCTACTCACTGCACCCTCTTCCTCCCAGGTTCAAGCAATTCTCCTGCCTCAACCTCATGAGTAGCTGGAACTACAGGCGTGCACCACCATGCCCAGCTAATTTTTGTATTTTTAGTAGAGATGGGGTTTCACCATGTTGGCCAGGATGGTCTGGATCTCTTGACTTCCTGAGCTGCCCACCTCGGCCTCCCAAAGTGCTGGGATTACAGGCATGAGCCACAGCGCCCAGCCAGGCCTGTCACTTTAATTCCTATTTCGTTGGCTAGATCTCAGCTCCATGGGCACAACTAACTGCAGAGGAAGCAGAGGAATGAGGTCTAGCTGTGTGCTAAGGAAGAGAATGGGCAGGTTTTGATTACTACATATGGGTCTCTGGTTTCTGCCTTACCCCCAGGGCACATTGATTCTGTATAGCTATTCCCTTTCAACTTCTTCCTTTCTACCCCATGTCTTTAGTTGCTTACGAAATATTTCAGAGGTGATTCCTACCTGCGATGAGTAGTTGGGAAATATTTTTAAGGTAGTGATTTTCATCAAGTAAGCATCTGACTTTTATGAGGCAACCTTTAAGTTTCCCTAAGCACTCCAATCTCTGCCTTAGAATATGACAGTGCATTAGTTTGTGTAGGGCATATAATAATCATGTCATTCTCAGTTGTGCATATAGATTTAGCTTCAGGTGAATATAACTGGGAATATTACTCTTCTAATCTTCTCAGGCTTAATGAGGTCAGAGATTTTAAAAAATTCAGATCTTAAGTTTCCTTTAGATGATTTGTCTGGGAAAATTATATCACAACTTTATTGTTGGATATCATAGCTTTTTTTGGTATAGAGCAATGGTTCTCATATTGTGGTTTCCAGACCAGCAGCATCAGCATCACCTGGAAACTTGTTAGTAAAGCGATTCTCAGGCCTCACTTCAGACCTCCTGAATCAGAAACTCTAGAAATGAGGTCTAGCAACCTGTACTTTCACAAGTCCTCTAAGAGAATATTCCAGAACCACTGGTTTAGCGATTTGGAGTTGAGTTAGATCATTGTCGAAGCATTTCACTTCAAGGACCAAATCAAGACATTATTTGAAATCATTTGTTTAAGACATATAGAATCTCTCTCTTATATTGCTGTGAATTAAGAGTGTCATAAAAATTCACCGAATGAAAATATTGCGAAGAGCCCTGGGAGGTCATTAGAGCATGCAGTTTTCAAAGATGTTAGTTACAGAAATCTAAGGTTCTATGAAACATCTCTAGGGGTTTCCTAAAAGAAAATGTTCATACGTTTGGTTGGTGACTATCCTTTGACCACCCAGGGTTTGTCTCTAAAAGACTTGAAATTCTGTGTCAGAAGAAATAGAGCTTTAGGACCAAGTCTGTATCTTTTTCATCTTTAAATCTTCATTACCTTCCAGAGTGCCCAGCATAAAGTAGATATATAACAAACATTTACAATGTACGTATGTATGGAATAGTCATCTCATGGATTCAAGTGCTTAACTAACTTTTACCAATATTCTGGGGTTATTTTTTTAAAACCAATTTGGATAGTTGTTATTAAAGAGGTACTGACTGCTTTATGTATGCCACCAGTCTTTTCAGCAGTTTATGATTTTCTCTAGAAGACATTGAGAATAATGCCTCCAACTCTGAAAAAGAAAGGGGGGGCAAGGGGAGAGAGAGAGAGAGAGAGAGAGAGAGAAACTTACATGAAGATAGTGTTTGTTCCATTTCTTGAAATGTCTATAAAAACATGCTACTTTGACCAAGCAGAAAAAAAATATCAGAGGTCGAAGATCAAAAAAATATATACATGCTACTTCATGTTAATCTTCTCAGTGACCAACCCAGGATTTCTTCCTCAACCTTGGCACTACTGACATCTGGGGCTGGATCATTCTTTATGGGATCTGTCTTGTACATTGCAGGATACGATGCTGGGCAGCATCCCTGGTCTCTGCCCACTAGATGCTGGCATCACCTACTACTAGCATCACCTACTACTCCTAGTAGTGACAACTAAAATGTCTCCAGACACTGACAAGGATCCTCTGGGAGGCAAAAGTGCCCAGGCTGAGAATCATTGCTCTAACCTAATGATAATAGGGGAGTAGTAATTTTCCTGTATTTTATTCAAAGCTATGGAAAAAGGCTTTGAAAAAGAGCATATGTTCCACATTTCTCTTTAGCTCATTGTTGAGGACTTTGGCAGTGACAGCTCTATCTATTTTGAAATGATTTGGTTCACAAATCCTCATTATTTTAGGCCACTTTTCTCCCTGGAACAACTTTATCTTTGGAGATGCAAATTCAGAAACTCTAAGCATCTTTTTTACACTTTCTGTGATCTTCTACACAGCTTTAGCACTGAATTCCATTATTGGGCATTTTTATTTAATAACTTCTAAATAATCCATAGACTGGCTAAAGGAACTCCGTAAAAGTCCATAATACAGAGCTAGCAACTGAATGGTTTTTATCGACTTCATTACAATATTTAAAAAATTATTTAAGGAAAAAAATCTAAGTAAAATGTAATAATACCCTTTATTACATCCTACTGCAAGAAGTAAATCCCAGACGCATTTCTGTCCACAGAAAGAAATTCACAATTGCGTCTGGGATTTACTTCCTGGTATCTAAAGAATATGCTAGTAATTCTATTTCGTGATTTATTTTGGATGTTATCTATTTTCCTCCCTTTAGCACGTGAGGATTTAGCATTATTTCAACCTCCCCTCACTTCTGCTCCTCCATAATATCAATATATTACACTTTTTCTTTAAATCATCAGTGTTTAAATGATGAGCTGACATCCTTATTGACATCCTCATGTAAATGTTCCTTCTCTCTTTTATTTTCCACATGGGTATGTGTTTTAAATAGTCCCCTTTTTAAAAATTTAATCGTATTTTGAGAGAGTGAGACGATAAAAGTATATGGCCATCACATATTTAACAGGAACTAAAATTATTTTTGAAAACTTTGGAAAGATTACATAAAAAGCCTCAAAATCTTATTGTTAGAGGGTAAAAATTTCTGTTTTCCCCCTCACCTCTTACATTTAGCATAAATGACAGTGAAGTATTTTTTTTCAAATTTAAGAAACAAGTATAAAATCTGATTTTTAATTTTTCATGAAACGAATTGTGTATAATTCTTATATCATTAACACCAGTAAATCAGGATCATAAAGAAAACAAAAACAGAGGATTAAAAAAGGCAACCAATTGACATGACAGATGAAGAAGATACTAGATGAGAAGAAACATGTATATAACAAAGCCTACAATTGGGAAATTGTGGGAATCAAAGTCAAGCAGTTAATTACTAACAAAGATGGCAACCATGTTTCTTTTGTCTTTCACAGTGAATGCACAATTAGCACTTAATACTAAGACAAGGGAATAAACCATCTATAATCTACTGAAAAAGACCATCTGCTTCTATAAATTTTGTTCTCATACACTTGCCAAAAGAAGAGAACATATTAACAAAATAATGGGCCCTGCACTGTTAATTGCTAGGTTGTTTGCAGTTGGGCTGTTGCTATTAGAATTTAATAAGCCATTCCTTCTGCTAAATTAATAAGCAGCCAAGATTATGTAATAGCTGCTTTCAGCGGCTAATTATTTTTCCCACAATTCCCTCCCCTCCCTACCCCTACCCCCACCTTTTTTTGGCTAGGAGCAGGGAAAGGAGACTGCCAATATGTCATCAGCAAGTCTCCCGTCCTCATTTTCAGAGCCAGAGCAACATTAGGAGCATAACCCGAGTTTAAACTTGGAGGTGGCTGTCTCAGGAACCTTAAGGATATAAGTGTTTTGTACAGAAAAAGAGAAACGCAGCATTTGGATTCAGAGGGCGAATTTTCATCGTGTAGCATTTGAGCTATCTTTTAACTGGCTAATGGCATCTGTTTCTTGTAGTAAGAGAGAAATGGGACATTCGAAAGCACCTTTGGGGCAGGACTGGGCAGGGAGCAAGGAGAAATCTGGTGGGGTCGAGGGGACCTAAAGAACTACAGAAAGCCAGTTCTGTGCCGTGTGTCGTCGTCCTCTTCCTTTAATATTCCAGTACGCGTTAATCATACATGTTAGTAGGAAACTTTCCAAGCAGCATAGTAGTGATTGAAAAGGGGAGGTATTACACATTTTTTTTGTTTTGCCATACAAAGGCATTTTTTAAAATGCCCCCAAAACTACTGTCTTAGATTCATAGATAGTATAATGCACACAAAAAGAATATAATCACTAATAAAGGATCCCTTTACGTTGATTACATTTAACTTCATGAAAAATTTAGCATTCCTTTTTTACTTCAGGCCATTAAAAAATTCTGGGGACTATACTTTGGAACCTCTGCAAAAGGGGCATGGCCCAACAAAAGCCATTTTCTCACTTCCTCTGTAAGAACCTAGGTGACTCGGGTAATGAATAGCATTCGATATGGGAAACCCGTGGCTTTTCAAGGAAGGTCACCTAATCCCGTGGGGCTCCCCTTTCCTTATCTGTAAAGGACTAGATGATCCATCCATTCTATCATTCAGAAAATTATGAACATCCATTATGCCCCGGCATTATGCTCAGCATTACAGCTCTTAACAAATTTATCATTTTATAGTCCTTATTAGCCCAACTCACATTAACCAGGCAGTGAACTAGGTTGGGATGCAAAATGAATATAATTTAAGGTGTGCTAAATAAAGGCTAACGGGCATGCGGATGAATAAGGGAATCACTCTTACAGGGTTTTAGGGTGAGGCTTCGCAGATGTAACATTTGAGAGCAAGGACATGCCACGCACAGCAAGTCGTCGGCAGTGCTAAACTGGAACCCAGACGGCTGGTGGGGCGACCGGGTGTGAAGGAAGCGGGATCTCGAAGGTGAGGTGCTGTCCGGGCTTTTCAGCCGAACGGACGGTAACTCATCCAGTCCGCAGCATCAAGGAGGGGCGAGGCGAGCCCAGGGAACAGACCCCTGCGAAGCTCGGGGCGAAAGGTGTCTGGGCTTGGGCTGGAGCAGTGCAATGGGATGGACAGCCTGGATTCTGGGCAATTTTGGAACAGAATGATAGCAAATGGCCCGTGAACGCGTGACTAGCTCCACAGACTAGCTGAATTGTTTTTTCAGTGTTGCAGCACTCCCTCACTCCTCCCACCCTCGTCGTCAGCTGTCACACCTCCCCGACCCACCCTCTGGGGACACCGAGAATCATCAGCGCTCGAACTTGGCTCTCCGCCTTCCGCACCTTCTCTGCCCCGCACCTCCGGCTAGGCTAAGGACGCCGCAGAATCCCGTCCTCCTTTCATTAAACAGCCAGGACAGCAGCCCGCGCGCGTCCCGGAGGCACCGGGCAGGAGTGCGCGGGCGCGCGGGCCCGGCAGACGCCGCTTCCGGGTCACGTGGCCCGGCTTCCGGTTCGCACCACCCCTCTCGGCGTAGAAGCCTCCAATCGTCTTCTTTGGACTCAGCGGTCACCTGCGCTGCCTTCGGTGCCGTTGATGACGGCTGAGCCGCTTCCCGCGCGTCGCGTAGCCCGCCCCTCGACTCACCGCAGCCCCGGCTCCTCCCTCGTCCGGCCCCCGGGGCGGGGTCTGTCGGCTCGCCCTCCCCTCTCTGCCTAAGCCTGCCCTCCGCCAGCCGGGTCCCCTCCCCACAGCACCACGGCTTCTCTTCCTCAGCAAGGCGACAGGGGCTTCCCCTTAGCCGCCGCCGCCGGCCAAGCTCCGCCGCGCCCGCGGCCCGCGGCCGCCGTAAGTCCCTGGGGACAAACGGGGGCGCCGGGGATGGAGAGCGGGAGGGAGGGCTGGGCGCGCCCCCTGACACCCCGCGCGCGCCCCGACGACCCCACCCCGCGCCCGCCCGGCCCGCCACTGGGTCGCCGCGTCTGCAACTCACTTCTCTCCGTGTCCGCGCCCTGCGCACCACTCCGCGCCGCGCCCGGGGATGTGGGGGCCAGTCCCGGACTCCGCGACAGCCCCGCGGCACCTGTGGTTCGAGAATCGCCTCAAGTTTTGCGGGGCATTTTCGGGAGGGGCTGGGGGCGGTGGCGGCCGAGGACTCTTGGCGCCCCCTGCGCGGCGGCGGATGCCATTGTCTGCTCCGCTCCTTGCCTTTCACCTCGCCCGGGCTTGGTCAGTGATGGAGTGGGTCCACGGGAGGAGGGAGGCACCGGCGACGGCCGGACCCGTGGAACGCTGGCCCCGAGCCCGCGCCGCGGCTGAGCCCATTGTTTTTAATGCCAATCTCGAGGAATTGTGGTACCCTGTGATTTTCGGCAAAATCAAAGCGTTGGTTTTTACCACGAGAGAAGGAATACTCGTGCCTTGCAACCGGGTTTCGTCCCATGTTAGCACATAATTTATTTTGAGGAGAATACATTGTTTTTTCGTCCTGCAAAGTGGTAGGGCGGATACAGGACCCTGCTCCAGACAGCCTTGAGCTCATACTCTTTTCGAAAGCAAACCCTCACCCCTTCTGGTGGCTAAGATCTAGAAAAACGGGATTCATTCTTTTCCAAGTTTTGGTAACGGGTTTGCAGTAAATGTCCAGTTGATGTTTCACTTACTGCGCCCTTAGAATGCCGCTATCTTCAGGACTTGTTCGGGAGGCACTTCGATATCTTCTAATAATGTCCGTAAATTTTGTGCCCCTGACATATTTTAAGTGACACATTTTAACTTTACTGAAGTTGAATTGCCACATCATAAATTTCTAGATATCGTGTTGATACCTCTTTGGATGGTTACAAAAGAGCGACGATAATCTTCTTACCAAAATTTAGGGCCCATTTTTATTCTACAGTGGTTGTGTAAATTTCCCCTCCCCGTGTTCAAATTCAAGATGGTGTGATGAATCTTGAGAATCAGGCTTAAATCTTACTTGCAGTAACGCTGTTAAGGGAACTTAAAATGGTTAAAAGAAAAAACGATACCTATGTAAATTCTGCCTTTAAATTACCTTTGTAGAAACAATACTGTTTGCAGTTGTGATGACCAATTGAATTAAAAAACCCTTGGCGTTAAAAATGAAACATGCAGGCTAATTAGCACATTTGCAGATTACAAATAAATACATACAAATTAGTTTAAGTATAAAATATACTAGAATTCAGTATCCACTCTATCGGTACATACTATTTTTTGTTTTAAATGAAGTATTTCATATAATGTTTCAATACTAAATCTTAATAAGTGTAAATCTTATTGTGGCCTTTTTAACGTTTGTATTCTCTGTCATAATACTACATTAACTCAGTTCTAGATTTTGTACATATTTAAGTTGGAATGTTTTAAAAGTAAGATGAAAGCATGTTTTGATTAAGGAAAATTTGTATTTATGGGATTTTTTGGTTAATATTTTTGATCATTCTGTTTTGCTTAAAATATGCCATCATAAACTGAGGAAAGCATTCCAAGATATAAGCTACTGTCTACAAGTAATTCGGCCTGGAACAAGAACGACCTTAGGGTGAAAAATAGCAGGTCTTCCATTTCTTTCAAAAGTCAAACCAATTGATGTCTACCATTCTCTTTTGATGCATATAGAGACTGCGCAATGTATAGCACAGGTAGAAAATAGTTTCTGAAATTGAAAGAGTGATGATCTTTATTTTTCTTCAAAATTTCACTTCAGTTTATTACCTATTTTTCTTTTTTTTCTCCTGCACACTCCCCTCCAAATGTAATGTGGAACAAGGTGGGACTGGAAAGTTTGCATCTAGAAGATCTGTTCAAAAGAATTTGCTATTTTAATTGGCATAGAAATATTGATTGCTACCAATCATTTGTCATTTAAATGTCCCATCCCCCAAAGCTTCTCTGTGAAACACATAATCTTACTTTATTGATTCAAAGTATGCCATGTAATCTTGATTTTATTTATCTTAACAGATGCAGTTTATGTTGCTTTTTAGTCGTCAGGGAAAGCTTCGACTGCAGAAATGGTATGTCCCACTGTCAGACAAAGAGAAGAAAAAGATCACCAGAGAACTTGTTCAGACCGTTTTAGCACGGAAACCTAAAATGTGCAGCTTCCTTGAGTGGCGAGATCTGAAGATTGTTTACAAAAGGTATAATTTTTATTTATCAGAAAGGTGCAATAGAATCAAATGTTAGGTCATTTAGGAAATTGCAGAGTTTTGAGTGATGACATTTATAAATAATGATTAATAAAGATTTAGATGAAATAGGTTTAAGATAAAGCTTTGTGTTTTTAAAATAACTAGTATTTTGATTGATTACTGAGGCTGAAATGATAAAGGCAGGGAAATCATTTGAAAATTAGTTACATAATTAAAGGCACAAATGATTATTCACGCTTAATCATCTTTATAGAAGAGTTTAATGAATTCATTTCATTACAGGGGAAAGTAGGGCCAGTATTTTAAAGTGTGTGAGTAATTCTCTTAATTTAGACATGTACACATAGAGTCTAATCCCTTTTCCCTGAAAATCTATAAAGTAATGACTGATATTTGACATGTCTTTATCTGATTTTTAGAATCTTATATATAAATATTTTGAATATGTAGACTATTTCAATCACATAGATGTTTTAAAAACTTTGTGTATATACAGGATCTGTGTGTAAGTAGTGTTTATTAACTTAAAGTACCCTTGTTGTGTGGTGGGGGTGTGATTAAATCTGACAGATAATTTTGACAGATTTTTTAAAAAAATTGATGTTGCAAAATGACTCATAGATTGGCTTTTAACACTGAAACTTTTTTTAATGCTATACATCTTTATTTTATAAATATCTGAAACTCTGAATACCATAAAATAAATTTCTCAAGATCATTTTAACTAGGTTAAAAGAAATAAACTTTCTTCTTTTACAGAAGATTTTTTTGAAGGGACATTTACTTTATTCCCCATTTGTTTCCTTTTGAATGATTTACTGAATTTAAGATAAGAGCATTTCTGCATATAAAAAGTTCTCTTGTGTGGGAAGTATGCATGGAATTAACAGTATGGGATACAATGAGGGTGGGAGAGAAGTCTGGTTTTCTTCTGGGCTTTCCTTTAATGCACTCCAAATATGGATTGGGTATTTTGTCAGGGAGATGGCTAGGAAAAAATGGAGATTATAAGACAGAGTTTCTTAAATATTGAGGACTTCTGTTTATTATTAAATGATCTTTGGTGATTTTGTATCTTTGGGTGATTTTATATCCAGTGTTTGGTTTGGTCTTATTTAAGATCATAGAAAAATCATATCATTTGAGAGGTGAGAGATGTTTTACAGTAATCTAGTCAAGTGATTTTGTTTGATTTTGTGTTAAGCTTTTTGCCCCATGGGTAGAACCTTAAATAAAATGAGTGGAAGTGAGGCTGTTCCATGTGAAATCAGGAAGGAGGATCCTGTACCCTGGCTCACTTGGCCTTTGCCCTCTGCACAGGCGACAGTTCCTGGGTTTGAAAACTGCCATTGCTGATCAAACTTTAGTTTTATAAAGAATGCAAATTTGGGAGAAGTGACTTGTCTAGGGCCATATGCCAGTTAGTGATTGACATGGGGCTGCAACTCAGATCTTAAGCTTGGAGGCAAAGGTTTTAAACAGGGCTGAAAAAAGATCAGGTTTACATATCTTGAAAGATTGAATGAAGTAGGGCAATAGATGAGGGCAGGAGGGGCTGAGACTGGCAACTGCAAGATCAGTAGGAAACTACCTGATAATGAGGTACTTAACCCAGGCACTGGAAAGGAAGGCTATGATTGAGATAGGTTTGATAACACTTGGTCACCTCTAGAAGTGGGAAGAACATGGGAGGCCAAGGCAGGAGAATCGCTTGAGCCCAGGAGTTCAAGTCCAGCCCTGGCAACTTAGTGAGACCCCATTGTCTCTATAAAAAGAAAAGAAAAGAAAAAGCTGGGTGTGGTGGCATGCACTTGTAGTCCTAGCTGCTCTAGAGGCTGAGGTGGGAGGATTGACTGTGCCTGGGAGTTCAAGGCTGCAGTGAGCCCTGATTGGGCCACTGCACTCCAGCCTGGGTGACAGAGTGAGAACCTCAACAACAACAACAAAAAGTGGAGAGAGCAGCAAAGGAAAGGGAGGAGTGGGGTGATCTCCACATTTCTGGTTTGCTAATGGAGTACAAGGTGAGCTAGAGAACTCAGCTCATTTTGGGGCAAGTTGATTTGGGGATGTCTATGTGACTTTCATTATGAGAAGCCTGATTTTCTGGTGGGATGTGGTTGGCATAGGTATGGAAGTCTGGGGAGAATAAGACAAAGTATTAGATCATCAGCATTCAAATGGCAGGCAAAGGAGATTAAGAGACCTTCAGAGTGGAATGAGAACCAAAGAGAATAAGTCTTGGGTCAGTAAAGTCAGGGAAACGAAGAGAGTTTCACCAGTGCCGGATGTTTCATAAAGTTCAATGAAAGTGAAGAAGGAATCTGATAGATTTTACAGTGAGCATTTCATATAATGCCCTTTGCCAGAACATTTTCAGTGCAATAGTGGAGATAGAACTCTCTCGATGTAATGGGGCGAAGTGTGAAGAGGTGGAGAAATTTAAATAGCATGTGTAGACTATTTTGGGAAACTTTGCTGTGAAGGACAGGAGACGAGGTGGTAACTGCTCATAGACATAGGAGTGGGGAACAAGGTTTTTAAAAAAGGTGTGAGATTTTTAAGCTTATTTCTAGATAGGGGAAGGAGTCCCCCGTGTGGAGGAGGAAAATACCAGCAAGGGATTCAGTCCCAGGAATGGACTGTTCCGGGAAGAAAGAAAAGCACTGGTTGTTGTTCACGCACATGTCACTCAGCCCATGTGTCTGTGTCGAGCCACTACTTTTTCTTTTAAAAGCTATAAAGGTATCTAACCCAACTCTGATACTTATATCAAAGCCCTTTAAATGAAAGGTGGACTTAAAAAAACTAAGTGCTTTATTGAGATATCAGTCATATACAAAAGGTAGAATTTATCTTCTCTTTCTCTATACATCCCCCTTCCATTTCATACCAAAAACCTCACCTACTATACCACTTACAGACATATTTTTTGTTGGTATAAACAAGTGATTTGTTTTTCCTACTACTGGAAGAGAAGACCTTTTTAAGCAAGAGAATTACTGCTTAGCTCCTGAGAAATTCTGGACTAGCACTTTTGCTGTTCATGCCAGCAAGTGCTTTTTGTTGTTTTTGTTAAATTTTCTCACTGACATTCTTCATCCTATTTGGCATATAAATTCTCCCTTTTGAGGGGGAATGATAGAGGGATAAGGATAATTAATATTACCTGAAAAGACAGACTAAAAATCTGGGGACTTGAGTTCTGTTCCCTTTGTAACATTAGCTCGTTTTATGATTTTAAACAAGTCACTTTGTTTCCTTATCTCTAAAATAAATGCTCTTAAAGATCCCTGTAAGACAGAATACTATGCTTTTTCGATTCTTGTTTTGTGTAGCATTTTGTGGAAGAGTCACTGGATTAAGGTCTTTTCAAATTAATTTAAAAACATATATCTCTCCAAATTACTAGCTTGAGAATTTGTTAAAGAATACTTACTGATTTTCTTTACTAACAAAAGAATTTTGAATGACATACCAGTGGGTATTGAGAATACTTTAGCTACATTCACCCACAGTCAGCTGATATTTAGCTGACTATGGAGAAGTCATGTGTTTTGAATATAAGAATAGGCACTTTCAGATGTTCTCTGAGTGCCAGTAATTAGAGTAAGCTTAATCCACTGTGCTAAAAATAACCAAACATACCTTTCTTCTTATTAGTCTATTATTAATTTTACTTCAGATTTAGACTTACAAATATGCACTAAGAGAACAAAATGAGCTTATTATTGAATTTTTTAAAACCATTTAGTCCTAAATATAGGAAGTACACTTCAGGTTCTCTTGGTAATCTTTTACTGAATCAGTATGTCATTTTTTATTTCTCTCTTCTTCAAACCTCTTAAAATATTGTTTTGAGCATATTTTAATTTTTGCCAGGTATGGGATTACTTTAATACAATTGCTGGCTATAGTTTTTAATGTAAAACTTGAGCAGTCAAATTGCTGTTCCTAGGGAAGTTACCCAAACCTGGGTCTCTTATCAATGCAAGTAATAATGGTATCTCAGGCACGTGGTTGTTGTGAGGATTAGAATGGTAAAGTATGCAAAAGCCTTAGCTGACATTTACTGTCTCATGTAGGGTGAGGATTCAATGAATGGTACTTAATTATTATGCTTGTTTCTTCCTTCCCTAAGCGTTCTGGAAAGAGCTACATTATTATCCCGATAGCGATCTGTTCACCTACACGAACAAATTCATTAATTTGATTATTCTTTTTCCATTCTGGGTGAAAGTAAACATTTAGATAGTCTTATGGGGTTTGTTTTTATTGTTTTTTGTTTAAATATTACTGGCTGGGGCTTAGACACATCATTACTGATGATTTTTAAATTAATGCTTCCAAGTGATTCATGCAGTTTAGGAGCTTTGACTAGTGTTTAAGTGCTTTTTATTTGTAAGAAAAGAGGCAGTACTGTGGATAAGGAGCAGGGATGGTACAAGCATTAGATTGTTCAATAGTAGCACTGAGGAAATCTTAAATACGAATAAAAGGAATTTTACTTGAAACTGTTAGTAACCTCTGTATAATACATTATTTAGCATTCTGTTCCTATCAGCTAGTCATATCTGGTTTTTAATCTACCATTTTTATGTCAGTTACTGTATTCTTTAGTTGCCTTAATTCAGGGAATCTTACTTATTTTTCAGTTTCCCCAAATTCAAAGTTCTATTTAATGAGCATGGGTTAGGGAGGATAGAGAGTTAGAATACTCCATTCTCTTTTAAGTAGATAAGCAAAAACAGAGTAGTGATGGGAAAGAGAGGGAGCACTTTGTTAAAGTTGGCATTGATACCCTGTTTTGTCTTCCATGACTTACTCCCTTCGCAATGATGATAAATGAACACATGTGAATACCTCCTCTCAGTAAGACTGCAGGAGGCCCACCATTTAAAATAACTTAGTGTGGAAGTCAGATAGAGTAGACATGCACAAAGTCATAATATATATCCCAAGTGAGTTTTTATGATACAGTAGAAAAAGGCCTGGAGTTAAGGTCAAAAGATCAGGTTTCTTATCTCAGTACTAGCACTTGTAGGCCCTGTACACTTAGGCCTCATTTTTTTTTTTTTGTCTTTTTAATCTGTAATCAAGGATGAAAGATAGTACTTGCTGTTGAAAACATCAAATAAGATGAAATGGTTGTAATAATATTGAAATTAATGCTGTTGTGTGAATACCAGTTATTTTCATACTGAAGAGCAAGAATTCACTGAGTCTCAAAACAGGTTGTTCATGTTACTCTGTATGCAGTATTATTTTACATTAATGCTATGAGTAGTAACTGCCCCTTGTGTTTTATAAAAATCATTTAAGTGATCTTCAGTGAGAATTACAATCTCAACTGATATATTCTGTTTAGCATATCTTAGGTTTTTATTTTCTTTCTTTTCAAAAGCCTTAAGTCCATGTAAACCATTTAAAATGCCCTTTTAATCCCCTCAAAGGACTTGCAATGCCTCAAGGTTGCAGTTTTGCTTCCTTGGGTCAAGCATAACCTGGTTCCATATGCTAGAATCATAATTTGAAGAAGAATATAAGTTTCCCAACCTTATTCCCTTTTCTAGGGTAAATAAACTACCCTTCAGTTCAACAGTGTAGAACTTGGAAAATTTGAGGATAGGTCTCGGTTTCCCTTAAGTGATAGGAACTTTCTGTTCTCTTTCTCTAACTTCTATAATAACATGGAGCTATTGTTCTTTTCTTGTGGTCTATTTCACAATCCTAGAAACCTTTTTAAAAACAATTCTATGCTGTTAGAAGTCAAGAGCATAGTTATCATTGGGGATGGGAGGTTGTGACTGGGAGATGGTATCAGAGGAGTTTCAGGGCTCAGTAGTGTTCAGCCTCTTGATCTGGGTGCTGGTATGTAGTTGGGTTAACTTTGAAAATTCATTGAGATTTTAGGACTTAAGGTCTTCTCTGTGTGTGTATTATACACGTTCCAATAAGATATCCCAAAATATTGACCTCACCTTGACAGTACCTTCATAAGTCCTCCTTCAGTTGGAAGGTTTGTTTTCTTCCCTGTACTTATAGTTTGAATTAATCTGCTATATATTTTGTTTTAATTAAGTAAATTTAGGAAAAAACTGGGTCTGCTCTACTTTAATATGTTTATAGAAAAGAACCTGAAAGAAAGAGGGGCAAAATAACTTATTCTAAATGGTATGATTATTTTGTTTTTTCTTTTTTCTTGCCTGTGCTTTTCAAAATTTCTCTTACGCATTTATTACTTTCGTAGTCTAGGAGAAAAATCTGTACTGTTGTGAAAGAAGAAATAAGCTGAATAAACTTGGTCTTTCATAATAGGATACAAGAATATATTTAGAAAACATGATTACAGGGTAACAATTTTTTTCACATTTGTACTTTGTTACAGATATGCTAGTCTGTATTTTTGCTGTGCTATTGAGGATCAGGACAATGAACTAATTACCCTGGAAATAATTCATCGTTATGTGGAATTACTTGACAAGTATTTTGGCAGTGTGAGTAGTATTTTATTTTAGGAAATTGAATGTCATAGTATTTTTTAGAACCTTTTTTCTAACAAGTTTATTATTTGGTTGTCTTGGGATTCTAACCGCAGGAGAGGGCGGGAATGAGTATTTCTCATCAGTGAGCCTATTCAGTTTCTAACTTTCAGAATTGCTGGCCCTATAGACCTAACTCATTTAATTAAGATGGTGAGGATGAGGTTTAACATAGTGAAATATAAACAGATCTAACTACAAACATTAATACCTTGGAAGTACCTAGTATAGAATTTAGATTTGGTTAGCAGTTCTGATCATGTTACCCAGGAAATATATGTTTAAAGATCAGTTTTTATAAGTAGAAATTATTAAGTTACCCTCATTGGGAGCATGCAGAGCCCGGCCTTATGTAGCTTGTAGGAATATGTTTTCAAGTACTTGAGATTTGGAAATTAAGCTTACTGAAGTCAATGATACTTAGTCTTTTTTTTTTTTTTGAGATGGAGTTTCGCTCTTGTTACCCAGGCTGCAGTGCAATGGCGCGATCTCAGCTCACTGCAACCTCCGCCTCCTGGGTTCAGGCAGTTCTCCTGCCTCAGTCTCCCGAGTAGCTGGGATTACAGGCACGTGCCACCATGCCCAGCTAATTTTTTGTATTTTTAGTAGAGACGGGGTTTTACCATGTTGACCAAGATGGTCTTGATCTCTTGACCTCGTGGTCCACCCGCCTCGGCCTCCCAAAGTGCTGGGATTACAGGCTTGAGCCACCGCGCCCGGCCCACTTAGTCATTTTTAGAAAGAATTAAGATTGATTCACTCTGGTCAGATGTATTCACTATCTGGTAGTGAATAAGCATCTGTTGCTTCTTTAAGTTGTAACAGTTTTTTCTTTTCTTTTTTTTCCTTTTCAGGTCTGTGAACTAGATATCATCTTTAATTTTGAGAAGGCTTATTTTATTTTGGATGAGTTTCTTTTGGGAGGGGAAGTTCAGGAAACATCCAAGAAAAATGTCCTTAAAGCAATTGAGCAGGCCGATCTACTGCAGGAGGTAAGATACTTGTTCTCTTCACTAGGCACTAGCATGCTTTGCTCTTGCTGGGAAGTCTCATTCATCATTCTTACAGTTTCAGAAAGTACACTGAAGCATGCTGGCATGTAGTGTCCATCCATATGCAGTTTATTCACTGGAATATGTGTCAGTCACGTCAACTCAGTTATCTCTGGATGGATGGTTCAGTTTGGGGATGGTCTATCGGTCAGGCCTCTTCCCGATGGCCTTTTTTGGACCCTAAAACACTAGAGTCTAAACCTTTAGAGGACAGAGTACTTTAAGAAGGGAAAAAATTGGCTGAAAGTAGCAGTAAGTTGAGAACTCTCCATCTATTGCTTCAAATTGTTTAAGATAATCCCTCCATCTATTGCTTCAAATTGTTTAAGATAACCCCCACCTTTTACATTAGTGTAGATAATCAGGAGTTGACTGTGAGATTATGACATGTTCATTCCAAATTGGCTCATATTTTTACCTCATGTCCATTAAATACAAATGTAGCCAAGCAAATGATAGTGTTTTCTAATTGTACTTTTTGTAGAACCTTCTCGTTTTTTTGTTAGCAAAACTAAACAGTATTTGCATTTCTCTTTGCTCTTGTTAAATAACAAACCACCTTCTGTCAAACTGCATTCTTGTCTTACCTTCATAGCCCCAGATGTGTAACTCCCTTTTCTTTCTAATTACCATAGTCATCCTGGGTTAATCGTGCAGTTGATGCTGATGTGCCTTCTATTTCTGAAGCTTAACATTTCATAGATAAGGCTACCTTTTTCTAAAAACTTAATGATACCATAATTCAGATACCAAATTGAATTATGCTTTAGAGCTAATTGTGATTTTTATCATATGGAAAGCTTACAGCATGAGAAGTGATTGGTAAATATTAAAAAATGAAATGTGTTTTCACTAAAATAGTTGTTAAGTGTATATTGCATGTATATAAAAAGTCTTGAATATTTTTGGCTCACTGGTTCATTTTCCAAAAGCATTAAAAATATGATTTTGTATTTCTAGTCTATTTTAGCCCATTCTTTGTTACATACTTGTTTATCAGTTTGTTCTTGTCTTTTTTTAGTCACCAAAGGAGACTTTAAGTCCCATTTTTTAGCCTTGGATGCATTCAATTTTAAGGGAATGAAATAAAGGAAGAAGAGTAACTTACTTTCTCCATTTTAACTTCCTAACTTTTAGACTCTGGGAGGAAGGGAAAGCTATTTTGAGGATCCCACTCCATCAGTACTGACTGGTTGAGTTGTAGGGATTGCTTGAAGTTCAGATGACATCATCTGGATAGACATCTACTAAATGTGAGACAATGCATTGTACACTTAATGATCTTGTAGTTATCAGAAGAGCGGTTAAGGTACCTGCAAAAGTGAAGTATTAGATTGGCAGCCCTGATGCCATCTACTCCTTAGTAGTAAAATGAACACAGACCCTTTGCCTTGTGTGTACAGTTTGTCACCGTGGTTTACCAATCGGTTGGAAATGTTATTTTGGAAGCTTGTTTTTAGTATCAGGTGTGCTGACTATAAGCATACACTCTACTGTTGTAAAATTGGTTTTTAAATTTAGTATCTCCTTATTTTGCTGTTCACTAATCAGACTTCTAAAAAAATTAGGTCAAAACCAGGATTAAAATTCTTCATATATGTCTCTTCCTTTGATCTCTTTCATATTTTGTTACGGATCTATATTCTGCTCTATCAGAACCTGGCATTTCTTCCAAGGTTTTCATTATTTTCTAATTAATTACATTTGCTTTAAAATGTATTTAAAGTTATTGAAGTTCAAATTTTAATTTTAATGTTTTTCCTGGAGAGTAATTTTTAGGGTATTGATATTTCTTTGTGCCTGGATTTTTTTTTTTTTTTTTTTGAGATGGACTTTGGCTCTTGTTGCCCAGGCTAGAGTGCAATGGCACAATCTTGGCTCATTGCAACCTCTGCCTCCCAGGCTCAAGCGATTCTCCTACCTCAGCCTCCCGAGTAGCTGGGATTGCAGGCATGTGCCACCATGCCTGTCTAATTTTGTATTTTTAGTAGAGGTGGGGTTTCATCATGTTGGTCAGGCTGGTCTCGAACTCCTGACCTCAAGTGATTCGCCCCCCCCCACCCCCCACCCCCCACCCCTTGGCCTCCCAAAGTGCTGGGATTAAAGGCGTGTGCCACTGTGCCCAGCTATGCCTGGATTTTTATATGCTACTGGGAAATTGGTATAGACCTTAGAATATGACAGCAATGTTAAGTTTACCTTAGAGCATATATTGAGTGTTTAATATACTAGGGGATAACATTATTGCAGATCCATATTTATTTGGGTGTGTATATATGTACATATGTATATATATTTCCCTATGGGATTATTTTAATAGTTAATATTGTCCCTTTTTTTGAAGTACTATTTTTATGTCTTTTTTTTTTTTTGGAGACAGAGTTTCGCTCTTGTCACCTAGGCTGGAGTGCAGTGGCACAATGTTGGCTTACTACAACCTCTGCCCCCTGGGTTCAAGCAATCCTCCTGCCTCAGCCTCCCAAGTAGCTGGGACTAGAGGTACATGTCACCACTCCCAGCTAATTTTTGTATTTTCAGTAGAGATGGGGTTTCACCATGTTGGCCAGGCTGGTCTCAAACTCCTGACCGGTGATCCACCCACCCTGGCCTCCCAAAGTGCTGGGATTACAGGCATGAGCCACCGTGCCTGGCCTATTTTAGATCTTTAATTGGGGAAAGTAAGCATAGGGAGAAAAGCATAGGATGACTGAGGTCACATGTAAAATTTTCCTTACCCCTTGTAACCTTTGTTTAAAATAAATGACTGCTGTTAATTACAGTTCCTTGTCTTTAGAAGAAAGCTGTGGTCCTATTTCTCTTCTGTGACTACTTTTACATTGCTTTGTACACAAACGAAACTGAGTACTACATTGAGACGTTGTCTATTTAGCAGTCTGAGTGAACCATTTTTCTTAGCCATTTAGGTCTTGGGGAAGCAGAAGGTGGTGGTCCATTCTGAATTTAGAGTGAGAATACATTGTAGATTAAGGTCATTATGGAGCCAAGCTCAAGTCTGTGTGGAGGAGTAAGGCTTCAGGTTATTCTGTTCTCTTCATCAATATATTCTGAGAAGAAATGCAGGAATGACAAGATGCATGTTTCCTAAAAAGAGATTCATTTATGTTTTTGATGCATGATGCAAGTTTACATCTCTGGGAGAGTATTTGAGTATTACGTTCATAAAATAGCAAGTGGAATAAGAGAAAAAGCACTCCACAAACTGCTGGAAAACTTTTTGTCCTGGATACCATGACAACAAAAATAATTATGATGGTAACTAATGCTTGAGTGCTTGTATGTGAGGCCCTGGGCTCAGCAGTTTGCTTTAAGCATCCTGTGCTAATTCTCAAGTCACCCTGTGAAAGGTTGGAGGTATCCTAATAAGAAAATGAAAGCTCAGTGAGGTTCCATGACTGGTGTGAAGCCACTGGGTTAGCAACTGATGAAACCAGGATTCTAAACCCAGATTTCTTCACAGCTATGTAAAATCTTAACCACTGTGCACTCCCCCCAGCCCCAGTTATGTATTGTCTTGGTATATATATTTTAAACGTTCTGTTTAAGATACCAACTTCTTTGCTTCTCAGTCATATAGTGAGAAATTAATAATTCTCCCAGAGGTTTTTCTATGTGGAAAACAGTAGATTTCCTAAGACAGTGCCATCTTTGACTTCTTAGACTGGGAATTTTTATAGTCCAGATTATCAGTAGTTGGAATTTTTTGTTGGCTATGTAGATATAAATAATAATTTTCAACCTATTTCTTGTTGCATTGATCAAAATGCCTAGATTTATAACTTTTTTAGTCTTGTAGTTTGGGATATAGCATTCACTTAATCAATGTCATGAAATGATTTTGCTTCCACACTTGTAAATATAGCTGTGAAGATCTAAATTCAGCCTTATTTTTGTAGTAGAAGTGCTAATTGGTCAATTTTCATCTAATTTTCTAAGTATCATGATTTTTCTATTTAGTGTCAGGTCTTTACTTGAATTGATTACTTCTAAGCACCAAAGATGACTTTGAGCTTATAATGTACTTCCATCTGTTAGCTTAAAGGTATATGTAAATCTCGAAATGATTTTGATTTTTTAAAAATTTGTGAAATATACATTTCTGTCTTTAAGAATGCTTATTTCCTTCGTAAAAATTTAAAAATTTTTCTCTTACCCAGTTTGTTTAAACACATAGCTTAAGGTAGTCCTTCATTTTATAGCCAAATAGGGAAGAGGGTCAGTGGATACAGATTTTCTGTTAGCATATTACAGTCAGTAATAAAAATGTAACATTAAATGTGTATTCAAATCATAGTTGCTAAAATATCAGCAGACATTGTGATTAAATAATAAAGATATCTTTTTTATTTTACTTTATCACTTGGTAAATAAGGGATTAGTTATGACATTTTTAGACCAAACTTCATGTTTATTCCTTTTGGAGTTTGGTTGTATGAATACATAATTATATATTATATAATTATATATTGGGTAAAGCCCAGAAATTGGCCCATTATTCATTTTTTACTGTTTGGCTGTCTTAACATGCCACTGGTACTAAAGTTGATTCTTAAATGATTGAAGTACAATATGCTGAAATTGCTAAATTGATATTCTTTGCAATACTTGGAATACTTTTCCCCACCACCTATTTTAAGCTAGATTTTTGGAGGGATAGGGTGGGGGATGGTGATGTAGTTGGATTTATTTAAACACACATATATATAAAATGAGAAAGGAAATAATAGCATGGCCTTTTTTTTATGTAAAGTCAAGCACTTACCAGTTTTTCTCTGCTCCTTAATTTTATAGAGCCAGAATGAAGAATGGGGAGGTTTGTCTGAGGATATCTTATGATAAAGAGCCAGTCTAAGGCTTTAGTCCCTTTGACCCCCAACTTATTTATTGGTAACTACTAAATTTACCATATTTGTGGCATGGAT